CGGCAGGTTCCCACCCTGTCTCTGTCACCTGGCCTCCAGGGCAACGGCTTCCCAACTCCAAGGAGATTTTACAGGGAACACCAACTCAGAGGCTGGGGCCAAACAAAAGCCAAGTGTACAAAGGGGTAAAACAGAGCAGGCGCAGAATACACGGGGATTAGCTCCTACATTAAAATAATCATAAGTGAAAGTTAACATCACTACAAGTGCGCACATGCCAAGAATGCAACACAGTTTTCCACAAGCAATCTCTGCTTTAAGTTTACATCTTCATGGTATGACACTGCTGTGGGACGTCCACCATTTCTGGCTTTTACAGCCTGGTTTTCCTAGAGCAATAAAGGGTAGTTGATTAAGCCCATTCAGCTAATAAAGGTTTATCTATTTGCAATTGGATCTGACCCTTTCCAAATGGGGGGAAAATCTGTGAGAATATACTTGCATTCTGACATAATCAGTAGAAATAATTATACTCACATTATTTTATTTATTTTGAGACAGAGTTCCCCTCTGTTGCCCGAGCTAGAGTGCAGTGGCATGAGCTCAGCTCACTGCAGCTACCACCCCACGCTCAAGAGATCCTCCCATCTCAGCTTCTGGATTAGCTGGGACTACAGGCATGCAGTACCACGCCCAGTCTTTTTTTTTTTTTTTTTTTTTTTTTTTAAATTTTTGTAGAGATGGGGTCTTGCTATGTTACCTAGGGGAGTCTCTAGCTCCTGGGCTCAAGGGATCCTCCTGCCTCGATCTCCCAAAGTGCCGAGATAACAGGCATGATGCACCGTACTGGGCTTCATTTTATAAATGAGCAAACTCTAGTTCTGAGGTTGGTTCAGCAAACACACCTTTCCTTATACATAGGCATCCTCTTTTATGACTCAAAGCAATCTCTCATTTTCACAGTCTATCTTTTCTCAGAGAAAAAGTCAATTTGAAAGTCAAATCTACTAATGTTTTTATAGATTGAATTATATCTTCCCCAAAATTTATATATTGAAACCTTAACCCACAATAAGGCTGTATTTGAAGACAGGACATAGAAAGAGTTGATAAAGTTAAATGAGATGTAAAAGGTTGGGCCCTAATCTAATAGGACTAGGTTCCTTATAAGAAGACAAAACACACCAGATATGTCTGTCTCTCCCCCCAACAGCACTCCCTCTCTCTCTGCTCCGCCAAAGAGGAAAGGTCATCTGAAGTCCTAGTGAGCTGCCTGCAAGCCAAGAAGAAAGGTCTCACCTTGAAACCAACACTGACCACACCTTATCTTACGCTTCTAGCCTCCAGAACTATGAAAAAATTAACTTTTTTTTTTTTTTTTTTTTTTTTTTTGAGACGAAGTCTCACTCTGTTGGCCAGGCTGAAGTGCAATGTCACGATCTCGGCTCACTGTCACCTCCGCCTCCCCGGTTCAAGCGATTCTTCCACCCCAACCTCAGTAGTAGCTGGGATTTCAGGCACCCGCCGTCATACCTCACTAATTTTTTGTATTTTTGTAGAGACAGGGTTTCACCATGTTGGCCAGGATGGTCTTGAACTCCTGACCTCAGGTGATCTGCCCGCCTCGGCCTCCCGAAGTGCTGGGATTATAGATGTGAGCCAGGGCGCCCAGCTTAATTTGTTTTTTTAGGTCACCTAGTTTGTGGTATTTATGAGAGGCCTAGCAGACTAATACAGATACACAGTTCTCATATATTGTTAATGTTTAGGTAAGTGTCTGTGTGCATGTCTAGCTACACAGATACATAGACATGTATAAACACACAAGCATACACACACACACACTATAAAAATTGGATAGGAACTTTTCGCTACGCCATAACAGCTTTTATTCACTCGTGTTATCCCCTGAAAATTAAAAGCGTATTTATTAAGGGTTTGCACAGTTTTTGGACTTTAAATTGTACTCTTTGTAGTACAACAGTATTTCCAGCAATGATATGTTTCATAATTTACTTTAAATGTTTATTATTGTCTTTTCCCAAATTGACATCCTTTGATTAGATCCCTTTCCTGTGTTCCAGTATTCAGTTCTTTCTAGGCAAGTCCACATAGGTGTTACATAAGGACCTCAATCCTAATACTCCTGATCGTCTCATGTCCCCAGTTTGATCCTCTTGTTTAATCTTCATCTCTACTGAAACTCCCCCACTACCAGTTGCCCTAGCTGGAAATGTGGGAATCTTCTGGCTTTCCTTCCTTCTCCTCACAGTCCCCACACCTGGTCTTGCAGTCAAGATGACCCTCAGTTTTCCATTTCTACTGACTCTCTCCTTATCTCTGTTGCTATAATCGTTAGTTTACTCGGCATCTCTCACTCAGACTCCTGCAAGAGACCCTGAGTGATTTCCGGGCCCTAAGACGAACCCTCTTCCTGTTCTGCATAGTTGATACTACTGCTCTTTAATGACACTGAAAATCCAACTGTGCAATGATGATTCATTCTTCTTTTAAAAATTTCACAGTCACATCCCGCAGTCTGTAGAAACAACTCTTTAACCTTCTGATTCTGATCCCTGCCTATGTCACTACCTCCTGCGAATGTTTACCAGCTATCTGAATTGAGATCTACATTCTGCGAAGCTATGGTGCTTTCTACCAGCATGTCATTTTACATATGTGCACCCACACATCCCCTACCCTCTTCACTTGTTAACTCCTTCTTGCTCTTCATGTAATTGTCCTCCAAAACATCCGATGAGGATCAGCTTTAATGCCCCTATTTTCACCAGCTCTTGTACTTTTAAGAATACTGCTCCCATCATACTAATAGTTAACTACTTGATTTGAAGTTGCTTATTTGCTTGTCTCCCCAATATGATCATGGCTACTAGAGAGGAGAGACTGACTTTTATCTCTAATTTTCAATCATATTGTGTCTGGCTTAGTAAACATTCTTTGAATAAGTAAAGCGTATAATAGGAGGAGAAACAAAACTATTAGAATAACTTACAAATTTGTGGGGGAATCTGAGCACATACGAAATCCGTGAAGGCTATAATGTAGAATATGATTTCAAACTCTGTTTTAGGCTTTCTACTGTATGTTAGCTTGAGAAAATCCTTAGGATGTTAAAAAAAAAAAAAAAAAGGACTTAGAAAATGACAGCCACTTATCAGAGCCACACCTGCTGTTCAAATGTTTAATGTCTGCAACTTTTTTCAAATAACTTATATCTGTAGTTGATGTTTTTGTACAATTATGAGTTCAGTATCTGTCTATTTAGCTAGACTTTGACAGAGGTTATTTATATCTTGTTCATCTCCATATCTAACACTTAGAAGACATTCTATGTTTTCTGAATGATAAAATAAAGCCAGAACTTGATTCAACATGTCCATACCCCTCACTGCTGCATCTTCAATGCTCCATATGGCCTCTAGTGTGTTGCAAATATTTATTCTATGACAAAAAGAGTTATTTGGTACTAGTAAGTCATGGACACAAAAGTCCGTAGGTGTTTGGCAAAATCTTCCTATGATGCAATATCTTTTTTGATACCTGTCTTTGTTTCTATATTGTACTGCTGGAAGAAAATAAGAGAGTAAAGATTAATTCCACCTTGTCTTAGAATCTAGAGAAATGGACAGAGAAAGAAAATAGTTTGTCAAAGGCTGCAGTCTTCGTGAGGTCATTAATAAAAATTCTGATAATTAATGTTAGGGAAATCTACATTTGAGTTCTAGTAAGAAAGCAGATATACCTGACGTCCCCTGGGTAGCTATTTAGGGCTTTAGAATGGAAAATAATAAAAAGGATCATCAAGTTTAAAACATCCTTTTTCATAAATAAGTAAATATATGATCTGATTGATGTCTTCTAGGGAACCAGTGGCAGAACTAAAACCAAAGTCTCATTTCTCTTGACTCTTGATTTAGTTCTCTTTCCATAATCGCATAATAAAGATATATAAACAAATACGTATGCATATGTATATGCACACATGCATTATACATATGTGTACATATTCTTAGATATTTACTTATGCATACACACACACACACACACACACACACACGAAGGAAGAAGTTTTTGATCAGATCCTCCTTGGGTCAGCTTGGAGTTGAAGAAGAGCAGTATGTGAATGGGGTGGGGATGCGGGCCAATTGCATTTAGCAAGAGTGAGTCACTCAGATCAGAGAATGTGATCTGGCCACTGGTGTACTCATTGTCATCTCTACTATGTAAGTGTGTCACAATTACTTGGAAAAAGCAGCAATGGTATGGAATTCAATTTTATATAGTTCTGAGCTAAAGTTCCTCAAAGTTTGCCCTGAAACATTCCCAGATCTTCTGAATTGTGGGTTTACAGTCACTACATTTCTCCCCCACCACCAAATTTCTCAAAATGTTTGTTTCCAAATTTTCCAGCTGGCATTTAGTGAGGTGGACCACCCCCTGCATCTAGTTTTATTTGGAGGGATAACTTGAAGTGGGTTTTCCTCATGTATTTTGGAATAAGATAGGGTAAAAAGCGGGAGCAGCTTACTTTTTGAGTGGTGACAGCCACGCCTGCCTTTAACTTGGGATCCCAACGTAAGAGAACTCCCTGGGCCCTGAAGTACCTGCATGTAGACATCTCAAACTAAGTATTTAAATCTCCTCTACTCGCCCCCTGCTACCAAACAGTTGAGTTTTGACCAGCCCTTTACCCTAAGCTGAGCCCACTGATAATGCAACCTGCTCTAGGAACCATGGCTCTGAGGAAATGGGCCTGCGTCATCTGCGCAGGAAATTGTCAGGTCTTGAGTAAAGAAACATAGTTGTTCTAGGCAGAATTATGCCCCTCCCTAAAGATGTCCACATTCTAATTCCTGGAACTCTTGAATGTTCTGTTACTTAGAAAAGGGCAGTTAAGATTGCAGATGGAATTAAGGCTGGCTAATGAGAGGATTTTAAGAAGATAAGCCTGATTCTCTGGATGGGCCCAGTGTAATCAGTATGAGGTGGGACACCTCATATAAGGGAGACAAGGGACAGAGGAGTCTCCCATATTGATGCAAAGAAAGAAAAATGGCTTTGCAGGCCATTGCTAGTTTTGAAAATGGAAGGGATTCGAATCATGGTCCAAGGAATGCAGACAGCCTTCAGAAGCTGAAAAAGGCGAGAAAATGGGTTTTCCTAAAGTCTCCAGAAAGAGCACAGCCCTGCTGACACATGTCAGTCCTGTTTTTCTACTTCTGATGTCCAGAACCATAAGATAATAAATTTACCTTATTTAAAGCCACTAAGTTTGTGATCATTGGTGACAGCAACAATAGAACCCAAATACAGTGGTAGGATGGGGAAGGAGATGCTGGAAGAGGTTTTGGTGAGCAATTCCCCTTTGCCCTACAATTTCCTATGGAGAAAGGCACCACAGGAAGAGGGCTAGTGAGGGGCACTGTAAAACTCAGGGCCAGGGAGGGACTCTAGCTGCCTGGATCTAAGAGTGGTATCAATTGTGCCAGTGGGATAGAAGTAAAAACAGGAGGTCAATACTTGCATGGAAGAATGAAGATCGTTTTAATCAGTTGTCATTCAGGATCACCTGCCCTCCTCAATGGCACTGCAACTTTACTGTTTCTCTAAATGTGCTTACCCATGTCGTCTTGTAACTATTGCTTCCTGTCTTGTCCACCATTCTCAAATCTCTCCAATTCAAAAATTTTACCCACTTTCTCCATCTCTGTTCTCTATTTGTCTCCATCACCCCACCAACATATATTAAGGTCAGTAGTACTGACCATGTTGTCCAATTCAAAGTTAACTGTTAAAACCTCATCCTAATTGATGCTTTATAAATTTTGCCATTGTGAATTAATCTCTTCTTTAAATTACATCCTTTCATGGTATCCTCCTGTCTGCATCTGTTTCTTTATACTTTGGCTGTTCTTCCTGTTTGCTCTGCGACAGCCTCCTCTACCTAAACTTTAAACACTGAGTGTCTTAGTATTTGGTCCTATACCCTTTTCTCATCCTTAGGTAGTACTTCTTGAAGAGATTTTATATGTACTCTAATTCAAGGTAGTATATATTTTTTTCCTGATGAGTTTACAACATCTAGTGAAATACTCCCTTCTCTTATTAATGACTCTTATGAGGTTGTTGGATTAGAGTACACCTCATATAAAGATTCTGAGGCTGGGTTTTCAACTGTAACAATTAATGATGGGCTACTTTCAATCTTCATGGTTTGATTTATTTAATGAAAAATGAGACTTTAGATATTTCAGCAGAGACACATAGCAAATGGTAGCACCTGCTTCACACAAGATTCTCATTCGCTGGGAGCCCAGCCAGGGTTGGCCAGGACCCTCTCTTAGCACCTCTATCTACCATTAGCACACACTCCTGAAACAGTCAGTACACTCTTTCTATTAAGTGTTTTTTTCTCATAATTTCATAAAAAATTTTCATATTTTTTCATGAATTTGGCTGGAGTTACAGGATTTCACTAGAAGGCATACACACACATATGCAAATATATGTGTATGATACTATATTATTAGTATATTTTATAGATACTTAAACATAGAGGAATCCAAGTCGATAAATTATGAGGTGAGATTAAAAGATGTCAAGACACTATTTAGGATCTATCAGCAGTGTGAGGTGATAGATATGTTAATTAACCTGATTTAATCATTCCAAAATATATACATCTTCTACATTCTACAATATATCATAACATCGCATTGTACACCCTTAAGTGTATACCATTATTATTTGTCAATTAAAATGAAATTTTAAAAAATACAGGTTAGTCTAAGAAATATTCAGATAATATCAACTCATCATTTAACTATGTGCTGTTAAAATGTTAATTATTTTTTAAATGTTAGCAAAGAATATGTACTTAACTGTATAACAGGGTTATCTGTCATCACAAATGACAGACCTTGAGTTCAATGCATACTTTGAGTTTGTTGTTTGTTTCTTTGCTAGTTTTCCTCATAGTAATGACAGATCTGGGCTAATGTAACTACATTGTCTCTCTCAGCCTCTGACCAGAGGAATATATTCACACGAAATCTGGCCTGGGTATGAGTACAGTTCTGTCCATGGAATGGAACAAAGTGAAGTAGGCCAGGGGGATTAAATCCTTGATCTTGGCATCATTAGCACTGTGTTCTAACCCACCAGGCTAAGTAGCCACAGACAAAGACCAATTGGATGAATAAATCACAGCAGCCAGAAGTATTTGGTTTGCATTTATATCTCATTTTCAATACATTATTTTTATAATTTGATTTAAATATTTTTAAATTAAAAATGTAAAAAGAAAAAAGAGAAAAGAAAATAGAAACTTTGGAAGAAATGAAGCCAAAGGCAATGTTGCCATCATTCAGAAGTGAGAAAGCAGGGAGGAAAAGCTATCCCAGGAAAAGCTATCCCACATGAAATCCCAGCACAAAGCAAGACTATGAGATGTGCTCTCACTTTGTACAAGAGGTGTCAGCTGAGAATGTTAAGAGAAACTCACAATTCTTTCAAGTAATTTAAGAAGCACAAAAGAGGCTTTGTATTTAATGAAAACTTTTTTGAACCACTTTGAAGGCCAATAACTTTTATGAAAAAAAAAGTACTGTTATGAAAAACAAAAATTTTCTGCTCTGTTGTTGCTGTTTCCAGATTGTCAGTTTTGTGTTTGATCCAAAAATGAGGTATGCATGTATTTTCACATCCTAAAAGTAACTTAGTTGCATCCCAACTGCCCAATTCATTCTCATTGTATAAATAGGTCACTGGAGAGGATGTCTTAACATTATTGTCCCTGTGGATTTTGATTTCTGGAATATATTCAAAATCCTATCTACTTCCAAAGCCCATTATAAGTAGTACCTCCTTTAGGACGTGCATCTTAACATTTGAAAATTGACTTCCCTATACTGTTATAATTTGTGTTGCCTGCGTCTTATATTTGGAGACTTGATTGTATGTAATTATTATTGTTGCTCCTTATTTTGCTCCAATCATTTCCATTATCATAATTGTCTCCCTAATGAGAAGACAAATTCCTTAAAGGAAAAGGCAGAGTTGGATATACCTCTTGGATGACTCACATAGCACAAAAGGTAGGCACAAAGTTTATATCTGTTGAATTTAATTTCAATTTAGCAATTATACCTGTGATCTGTGAATATTGTGGGATTGTCAATCTACAGATGTTCTTGCTTTGGTCTCTTTCAACATCAAATAAGAAGAACAGAGATGCTAAGAATTTTTATGTGAACATTATATAAGAAATACATGTTGCATTATGTTTTAGCTTAGTTGCCTAATTTACTTTTATGAATAAATTATGTCTTCAAGTAGGTGTCTCTTTTGAAAAAAAGTATCTACAGAATAATGTCAAAATGTTGAATGTGATGGACAATACTTTTGAAGATTTTTTTTTATTTTCTAAGAATTCTAACTACAGCGGTTTCTTTAGTATAATACAATTATAATAAAACTGAAAAATACAAAATAACTTATTTCAGAAGCTATGCATCACCTTCAGTAACTATAAATATTAGCAGCTCATCTTCATATGTTTGTATCTTGAGGCCTTGCAAAATCAAGTTCATCTTGGTGGTATAGTAAGGGGCAGACTTCTTGAAATTATGTAGCCATAACATAAACTTGATGAATATAAAGGAATAAGTAACAGCAATAATAGTAATCAATAGTAATAATGATGATAATAGTTAACCTTTAGAGTGCCTACAATATTGTAGGCAGGTCTTGAGTGCTTTACACGTACTAACTCAATTATTCCTCACAACAACCTCGTGAGGTAAGAACAATAATTTTCCCCATCATACAGATTAGAAAATTGAGGCACTAAGTGGTTAAATGATTTTCTCAACGTTATGTAGCCAGGCAGCCTGTTTCCACAGATTAGCCCTTAACCAGTGTGCATACTATCTCTCAAAGGTGAGGGTGCTGAAGAAAGCTGATGTGTAATTTTGCCACTTCTAGATCATTTTACCCATTCTATTATAAAACGTCATAGTCTCTTGTCTACAATTTGTTCTTAGAAACTAGGTAGATAACATCATCTCTGAAATCTAAGATGATGTTCTGTACTCTAGATATCAATGATCTTCACTAAAAGGAAAAACTGCGGGTGATAATAACCTGTCCCCTACATATGCCACCTTCTTCGAATCTCAAGGGGACAGGGACAGGAAAGTAAACAAACCAACTAAAATAAAACAACACCTAATGCCTCAATATAATACTTGCCTAGTTCTCTTATTTGTAGAATCCAAATATAAATTTCATTCTTTCTTAAAAGTGAATAACTGAAATAATGACACGCCTGCTGCCAACTTTGTGAGATTAAATCTCACATATTCTCAAAGACTGAACTGCTTGTTTATATTTCCCTTGAGAGCACACCATGTTCTGTATAGATAATAACAATTTGAAAAGAAAACCTAAAAGAAATTTCAGAGCATTTGGTAATCAGGTCATGGCATCATCAACTTCAGGTATGGTGAGAATATGAGGAACTCAATGTAAACAAATGGGAGAAATAAAGAAATGTGGGAGCTGTTCTCGGACGATGTGAGATATGATGTTGAATATTAATTGTTACTTTTAAGCTCAGGAAATGTGCAAAAATTAGTCATTGACTAGAATGTTGCTACTCAAGGTGTGGTCTACGGTCCAGCAGGATTGTTATTATCTGAGTTAGAAACGAATCATCTCAGGGTCCCAACCCAAATCTGCTGAATCTGAATCTGCATTTTGATAAGATCCTCCAAGCACATTAAAATTGGATATTCACTGAACTAACATGTCTTCTCTATATCCAATATCAAAATGTAACATCACATCACTTATATTACCTTTTAGCCTAATTTTTAGACCATAGCCACCTTAAAAAATAGACTAATTATGACGTATTTATGGCAATTTAAATCTATAAAACCCTTTCCCAGGCACTTACCTCATGTAAAATCCTTATTCTGCCTTTGAGAAATTCAGAATATGTACATGTTTTTAATGGTAAACTGTTGCTAAGAGAGAAATTATCATGGGGACAAATACATAGAGGTAGTAATTTAAACCTTGATCTTGTAAATCCAAATCCATTTCAACACCCTCACCTTTGAGACATAGTGAGGCCTTTTCCATTCCAGAGACAAGCATCTGCAGTTGTCAGAGCATTCTTAAGTTGTGTTCAGGAAATGCTGAAGGATTGACAGTCTATTTTTCTAAGACACAATATATTCCCAATACAATTCCCAGTCTTCATGAAGGTAGAAAAGGTGATTTAGTCAAGCACAAGGAAACCATGTCACTCTAAGATTTTCTTGACATTTTCTGGATAAACGCAATGGTTTGAGGTTAAACTAGACATTTCAGATGTTTCCCTTCTTCTTCTGCCTGAAATGTTATTAGGCTATTTGGTGGGGTAGGGGAGTGCATATGTGCATATGTGGGGACGTGGTTTGGAGGAGACGCTGTGGTTGCCTCAGGTTCTTAGTCCTGACACCCCACGTAGCCATCTCTACTCTTTCCCCTTTCCATGGTGACATTCTTGGGAGACTGTGCCTCTTGGCATGCTAGGCAGAGAGCAGCGGCACAGGCATTCCATCCTTTCAAATTCCACTTATGATCAACTTCTATTTCTCCTCTTCCCTTTTAGGATCCAACTGCAAGGGTAGGGACAGGAGAGGAGTGGACAGGCCGGAGGTTTCCCCCTCTCATATGTTTTCACCAATTCTCTACTCTTTTGTTTCCTGTATAACTCTTCCCTATTCCTTTTAGCCCAGAGAGTTCTTACCTCTTCAAAGGCAAGAAAAACTAGATCTTCGGGTATTTTTATGTGGCTTTTATTTTAAAGCTTAAAAGTCAGGATTTGGATGGTTTTGTTTTTCAGTTTCCATAGCTGCCACTTCCCCTTAAGGCAACGCCTGCTTCAAGTCTGTCTGGTGACCTAAATGGAGGAGAGGTAACAGGGTATAATGGAATGAGGTATGGCAAGCATTGGTTAATATTTTAAAATATTGTCCTTTCTGGTGACCTGTAATTCTCATGAGATATATAAACCTCTAGAGCACTGGACTTTCTAGAGTTTAAACCATGGAAACTTAGGCTCATCTAATCTGTTCGTCTTAGATACTGAATTCAGTTCTTAGTACCACTCTTTAAATGTCATTGTCAACATAACGGATGGTCTTAGGAAAAGAATCAAAATGGAAAGGTGTCTGGGAATGATCTCCTGTGAGGTCTGATTATATGAAGTACGATTATTTAGCCTAGAAAAAATAGACTAAGAGGAAATAAATATTTAAACATCTATCATATTTACGGGGAAAAGTAAGTAAGCTTTTGCTATTGTTATTGCTTGTCCCAAGAGCAGAATGAATTAGAATTGGTGAAATAAATTTAAGAAATCTAACTTTAGTTCAAATTAAGTACGGCAGAGAAAACATTGCCATTTTCATTTTACTGCTGGATGGAGCAACACTATACAAAAAACCCCAATTCCTGAGATATGATTTGAAGGGAAAAGTCACGAGGAAGGCAGGGATTTTACACATTTCAAATGGTGATATGAAGGAGAAATAAAATTTTTATTATGTAATGCCATCACTAATATTTTGTGATTTTTATTTTATCACAGCATGTTCTCCTACCTTGAATCGTATAGTAAGGAAGAATTTCCTGGGACAGATATTCATCAATGAACTGGATTTCCCGTGCAGAAGCACCTATTCTATTATGGAAATTATTGAGCAGTAAAAAGGATACATTTATTCAGTAAATGTTTCCTTAAATGTATTTTTACATTTCTCAAAATAAATATCTTCATTGAGTACGTAATATGTGCCCGTTATTCTAGTATGCGATGAAGAAAAATTGGAGGCAAGATCAGCCTGGCCTCTCAAAATTGACTGGGTGTTCCGATTAGGTGATTTTTATGTTTGCTTTTGATCCTAAAAGTTTTAGGATCAATTTAATAATTTAACAGCATACTGCTACTCCTAAATCCTACCACACCATTAAAGTTCCTATAATATTCAGCCATCTCATTTTTTCCATATGCATTAGTGTGTAGGCATATTTATGCATTTTTATTTAAACACAATTTTATACTTCTGATAACTTGCCTAATGATTTTTAAGAATTGTAAATAATCTGAGATTTTTATCGTACTTGTAAGATAACAAGTTAGCTTGCCGTAGTTTCATGGATGCTAACAGAAGGCAAAAGACTCCTGAATCAAAAACAAAGGACAGTTTATCGCTTACATCAATAGCAGTAACCAAAATATCAGCATTTACACTGGTTGCCTGAGTCCCAATTCCTATAAGTAGATGTGATGAGGGCCACGTGGCACCTGCACACGCAACGGGTTGCATTAGATTACAGGGAGGAATACCAAATTTAGGAAATCTCAGGCTTTTAGAATGGGCTGCAAGCAAGCCTGCCCAAACATTGTCCCAGAGGGAAACATTACTTATTTTCATAATGGATAGCAAACAAGCCTGGTCTCTGCCCTCAAAGGAGACACTCTCTATCTTCCAAGGTTGTCTTCTATACAAACCTGAAACTTATCTGAAAAGATAGAACAAAAGGCTGTCAGTACTTCCGTTCCCAGACACACAGAAATGCTGGAGATTCACAGAAATTGCCTTGCAATAATCATACCTGCTAGATTTCAAATTACCACAAACCAGATCCCATCTTTTTCATCACCATATTCAATTTCTTCCCCACTGCCTAGTGCACAGTATAAGGAGCTAAGACTTACCGAGGTCTCATCATATGTCAGACTTTTCAAACTTTGTGTATGTGAACTCAATTCTAACTACTATTATATAGTTACAAACGTTGCCTTCATTTGGCACCGAGTCAAAAGAATTTAGAAACTCATCTAAGACCAAACAAATAACAAGTGTTGCAACATAAATATATATATTTCTAGAATAAATAAATTGGATTAATAGATGGCTGGAAAATTATGAAATGGAAAACAAGCCTCTGTGATTGTATGCATCAAGCTATGTATCAGGCTGCAATTATGAGTTTGAACACAGTACAGTTCTTTCTCTAGACCTCACATACTATTAAAATCAGAGGCTAATGCATATTGTTTTACTATTTGTTGATTACTGTAACTTCAGTCTGCTCAGGGAATCTGAGATGCCTGTGCTATAACATATCTAATGGAAGCTTTAGTGTCTAGGTTTAATTTGCCTGACTTGGCCAAACTTTATGGTAAAAGACTAATTCTATCTGAAAAACACAAGAATTTATTTCATACTGATTGTTCTTAGCAGTATGTCCATTGGCAGAACATTAAAAAACAAGAAGAATGGCTCTGTTTTATTAGCTGTGGAATAAATGTACAATGGAAAAACTAGCTCATGCTTAAAAGAGAGAGAAGTCATTTCTGTGCTATGTAGCCGTCCCTGGATATAGACACGACTGTAGCTACACAAAGTATATACTGCTCTATGTCTTGATTTTTGTTTTTCAGAAATTACACTCTGTTCATTTCTAGTCCCTCTCTTCATAGAATGATCTCATTTTTCCAGGTTGTAACTATAAAGTGGCATGCATTTGGGTAGAAGGAGACCGAAAAATACATATTACTGCATATCAGCGGGGATATAATGGAGAAAAAGGTGGGAAAAAAAGAGGAAAGAGTTTGGAAAATCAAGAAATTAAATAAATGTACACATAATTCCACATCCCAGTGTAGAACCATTATCATATTAATTTGTATATTTTTCTCCAATATTTAAGTAATTCATCAACAAATTCACACAACACATATTTATTGAGAACCTACTACATGTCAGATACCGTTTAAGGTGCTGGGCATATAGCAGTATACAAAATGAAACAGATATTCCTGCATATATTCTAGAGATGGTTTTCTAGATAATATACATAAAATTTTGAAAGCTATCTTTTAAACTTTTAATCATTTTCCCAGGTGACTCTTTGGTTTTCATAACCATAATTTTTAAAGGATTGAATGATCTTAACAAAATAGCCAATGATTTCAACTACTTTTTTTATGGTTGTTGTATTTGCTGTTTTCAATTTCCTTTTCTTCTTTCCTTTCTTCTTTCCTTATTTTTATTTAAAACGGTTTTTAGCAAATAGCCTCATACTGAACATCTTGTAGGACTGCTTTTTTGTCTGTATTTTATACAAGTGTGTTCTGTCAGCTCACATTTCCTCTGGACTTGTGCATAGTGCCTTTAGACACCCTTCTCTTTTTTGGGCAAGATTCACATTACAGAGCCTGAATGTTAACACATCGAATTCTCTGACGCAGAATTGTCATTGAATAATTCCAGAGCTCCCAAAGAATGATTCTCCTGGGATTTCCTTTACCGATAGCTGATTTTTGAAATGTCAAGGTTAGAGTTTCACATTTGTCCTCCTTCAAAATGTACATACCACTGCAATATTAAAATCTAGGCTTGTTACAATCATCTATGCATTTATAAGAACAAAGAAGGAGCAGGTTTGATAGAGCAGAAGAAGAAAGCAGAAAACTAATGGTGCCCATTTTGTCCTATGCATACAATTCAGGCAAGTTCATTTTTATATATAGATATATGAATGTTATTTCTTGCTTCATCATTGCTATGAAATACCTAGTATGGGTTTATCTGAAATTAAGAAAATCTGTCCAACTGTAAGGTCATGTGTAATTGGCTGGGTAAAGGGATCAGGTGTGAATCTCATCAATGCAGTGTTTTAGTTGTCTAGAGTCAATAAATAGGAAGGATTTTATATACTGTCAGACTGTTATAATGATTAAGGATGAGAATAAGCTGGGAATGGGGTAGGCTCATAGATTGTTAGCACTATATTCTTTTCTAGTATAGGTATTTGATTTTCAAGTGGAGAAGCTGAGTACTAAAGAAACTGAGAGATTTAACTAAGTCATAAAAATAGAACAATATCTCCATTCTAGTATTCTTTCAGCTTGTGTTTACTGCCTCTATGCTTTAATGAGCATTTGGATATTTTATAATGGCCTTTCAAAAACTCAATTTTTTTCAGCTTTTTGAAGGAAAGTGTATCAATAGATGCTCTTGCTTAATTGTGCTTAATTGTGTATTTTTTCTTTTCACCTAGAATCTCAATAATTTTTCTAAACTGCTTTGTGGACATACATTATGAAAATGTGAAATAGAAAGGAAAAAGATAAAAAAAGAAAATAAATAGAATGAAGCAACAATTTAAAAGTAAATTGAGTGAATTCTGACTTTCTCCTGATAATATATAACACTTCAACGTGTGTTTTTTATATAAAAGTTCCAGTTTCCCTTGTATTCCACTAGAAGGAGCCATTCAGTCTCAACTTTGAGGGCATACTTCCTTCCCAGAATAACATGAAGTATCTATTTTTTCCTGTTAAGACTTGAGCTAAGCATGAGAATCAATTTTCTTAAAACAAAGTTTTCTTTATCTTTAATGAAAAATAAATACTTGTTTTAAATTACTAATGGATTTGGGCTTTATTCTAATGCGTGGTTATGCTCCTCTCTAAGAGTCTGTCCATTCTAACATGGGAGAACAAAAGGCAGAAAAATAATCCATATATTTATAAGGGAGCAAAAGGGTGTGAGTGAAAATTCTTGGAAACTGGAAGTTGGAAAAACTACCTAGAGGAGTGTAGAAAACAAGTGTCAAGTGAGTCTAGATATAGTCCTATCGTGAATCTACTGATCAGCAATTCGTGTGGCAAGGAAGTGGGGATGAAGACCTTACAAAAAGCACTATTCTAATGTCCAGGAGCTGGGCTGGACAAAAAAAAACTGAATTTCAGTCAACTTCCCAGTCATTACATGATGGAAATATGTCCCTTCCCTGCTGTCAGTTTAGGCTTCAGATGATTGAGATCAATGGCTTGCTCACATTATTTCAGTCTTCTTAGGAAACGTATTTGCTTATTCCATGCTAGATTTAAATGTTTGTGTGCCTCCAAAACCCATATGTTGGAATTTAATCACCAGAGTCGTGGCTTTGGGAGGTGAGAGCTTTGCAGGGCGTGTAATTAGTAGTTAGATGGTGAAGCCCTCATTAATGGAGTTGGTGCCATTACAGAAGGGGCCCTAGAAAGCTGCCTTGCCCCTTCTACCATATAAAGACAGAGTTAGACAGTGCCATCTATGAACCAGAGAGAAGGCCCTCACCAGACCACGACTCTGCCAGCACTTTGATCTTGGACTTCCCAGCCTCCAGAACTGTGAGAAACAAATCAATCTGTGGTGTTTCCAAGCCACCCAGTTTATGGTATTTTGTTCTAGTAGCCAGAATGGACTAAGACACTTTATGATTCTACTTTAGACCGAATCAAAGATTTGAACTATTTTTCCTCATATTTGGACTGTTACTGAAAATAAATAAATAATATTTCCCCCTTTTTTCTACATTTACTATGCTATCTTAGAGAGAGAGAGAGGGAGAGAGGTTATAGTTCATTCTTTTTTCTCCACTCATATTTCTGAATATTTGTTCTTGAATAATGCATGCCAGTTGAATCTGCATATGCTTATATAATTTATAAACTGCCAGAACACAATTTTGTAAAACTGTCAAATTAAAATAGTATGCCCATTGAAGTGTAGCATTCTTTATTTAGGTTATGCAGTATTTCTTAAGTAATGGGAGTGACTCAAAAGCATTTTATAATTATTTACTGAGACCTACTTTTATAAAACACACAGACCATAAAATCTATAATAGGCATTACATGCTAAGTATTATT